TGCTTTATTCCCGCCAGAAATATTCCTTCTCGCTCGCAACGTGTACAGAGCGAGATGGAAATTTTTACTTCTCGGATCGTTTTCCGAAACGACGGGAAAATGCGCATTTCCGCGCGATTTTATTACCGCGGAAATGAAAAAGAAAGAGGAAAAAATTGAATATATAGTATACATGTATAAGGCGGTATTATATATTGCGTAATAATAAAAGCTGAAATAATCCATGCCTGAAAACACTCGATAGCGAATATGCGACTCGGGAGAAAAAAATTATTTCGCGTCTAAAGACAAAAATACGATAAGAGCGATTGTTAATATATCGACTCGTGAAAAAAGCTTTGGATGAAAATGGCAGTCGAGACTTTTTTTTTTACAAGCGCCATTAGAAAATGCACTTCGAAGTCGGCGTTATACGAGGGCTCCTCCTTATCACCATGCAACGTGATACGCACATCCATTATTGTCGGATATAATAATAATTTACGTTATAAAAGTTTTATATATATGAGCTGTCAAATGTGGGAATATGGAGTATCCATTAGCTTCCAGATGTTTTCTAAGATCTTCAAAATAAAGTCATTCCGATTCTTGACGCGCGAAACGGCTCGTTATCGCGGCAGGTGACGGCGTTATCGTATCGCGATGGAATCCCCCCGACGTGCAGCTTTGCTGCATATATTATGACGTGCAAAGGGCATCGATTCTGCGAAATTAAATTATCTCCGGCAAAGCTTTAACTTTTCTATATTAAAATCGACATTGCTTACGCAACGTAATAATTTTATACATTGTCGGATCGAAATTTTTCTCCTATTTTCGATCTCAATTTCCTCATATTTATGAATTCTAAAGAATTTCGAGATAGATTTAATTTATTTAGGAAGTGAATTCCTATACTTTATACCTCAAGTATTGGCAGTAAACGTACAGTTTTTCACATTTAGAAGAAATTTAAAAGAGGAACTTCCGCGCGCGCGCGGGACAAAATAATAGTTTTGATTACTCAAAATAAATTTTAGATTGAAAATTGAGATCGAAAGTATAGAAGAAAAATTTCGACTTGAAAGTATCTATTCGAGAAAGAAGCGAATTCGAAAAATTTATTTTAATATAAAATATTCAAAGATGAAAAATGTATAGGAATCACGTAATGCAAACACAAAATACTTTTTAAAGAATCATTTTACGGAAGCATTGCTATATAGTGTGTGTAGACCAAAATGGTGGTCACTTTGAACAATTTATAAAGTAGTTTATAAAGTAAATTATTGTTTAATTATCGTTTAATTATTGTTTAATTATCAATAAATAATATTATCTTTAATAAATAATATTGTTCTTATTTTATGCAATTTTGTTTTTTTCGCTATAACTTTGAAACAATCGACTTTAGGGCATATATGTATTAAGACTTTTTGACTTAGAATGACAAAAAGAATACACAGTTTCAGTGTGGAGATCACGTTGCCGGACACCCTGTATATATAGTATAATGCTTATAATCATTTCCGAAATCTCATTAATTTTGGCATTAATAGATACACGCGAAATCGCGTGGAATTTCTCAGACATTTCTCCGAAGCCGATTATTCGCGCGTGTTATATGCTACGATCAAAATTTCAATCTCGTAGGAGGTTCGTTGCAGGAGAATGCAGCTCTAAGACCGTTTGTGTGTATCTCGCGAATTCATTAAAACCACTCGCGCGCGAGCACTTTGACGCAACTAGTTGTACTCGAGACGCGACGCACGACGCACTGATGCTATTTACATATCGGTAGTTACATATCCGCGTTTTTCGAGTTCCGTACAAATTGCCGTTTATCCCAACGACAAATTATACTTTCTCCGAACTATACTCCCGCTTGTCAAACGTCGGGACATTTCAATAGCTCGGTTTCACCGCGTTTACAAAATCAAAGGGAATTTTTGTTCCTTTGCACTCGCGTCGATCGATTTATTCCGTTTAATGTGTCCGCTATGGTGTATGATGGCCGGTAGCTTTATTAGAGCACGCTTTTACACGCAATTTTACGCATTTGTCGCGCGAAAATGCACGTTTTTAACTCTCGCCCCGATTATATAAATTGTCCAATATTGCTTTCGATTGCGAAAAGAGAGAGAGAGAGAGAGAGAGAGAGAGAGAGAGAGAGAGAAACGCGTACCAGAATAAAAAGGCTAACATTATTTTAACATTCCATCACGTGAACGTAAAACGCATGAATAAAACGAAGCGTGTAATGAAAAAGCGTTCCCTGAAGAATTTCACTTCGCGCTTCGTACAATCGCAAGCGGATAAAGCAACGGGAGCGTTCTAGTGTTTTAGTAGCAGAAATACCGGAACAACAGGCAACAGAGTGAATTATTCCGAACATTTGCACTAATCTAGGTGAGTGCATTCCGTAACTCGTCATCCCCCACCGCGCGGGGTTTTGCGAAAGTGCGCGGTTTCGTTCTTACACCGAAGAAAGAAGAACCTTCCGAAAAAGTCGAGTTCCGTCTCGAGCAGAGAGAGAGCGGACCGTTTCGCGCTCTTATCCCGTACCCTGTGTCAGGTACGGTGGGCCCTCGTCGCGAAGAGGAGAAGACGCAAGAGACGGGAAGCGAGAGCAGAAGAGGAGAAAGGAAGCGAGAGAAGGAAGCACGCGCATACACACACGTATAAACGTACTCGCGAGGAGGAGAAAGGGTTTAGTGACCTCGTCGTCATAATCCTAAGGAGAAGCCGAAGGAGTAGGACGACGACGACGACGACGACGACGTGCACGAGCGCAACGACGCCGTGCGCGACGGGACGACGAGGAGTGGCCGAGAAGAAGAAGAGCAAATTGGTGCTCCCGGTAGCAGGGGCTCATGAGCATCGTGGAGGAAACGTTGCGTAACGTGTCGAGGCGCAGCAGGCACGGTACACGTGGCGGATCAGCTGGCGCCGCCGCATACCACTTTTTTGAATGACTAATTGCGACTAACAAGCGTCTCGATTTAATGATTTAATATACGATAAAATTCAGCGATGCCATTTCATAGAAACGCAATTTGTCTATTGCTTCGCGTAGCGAATAATATAATAAAGATAAACCCAAGATCGTTAAGAGGATTTTTCATCATTCATATCACGATTTATTCTCGCGCCAAAGTTGAGCATATAAAACGTTCTATTCGCGTTTTATCGTAGCAGGAAACGATGAGAGATATCTCGACGAGAAAAAGAGAGAGAGAGATATGGCGTGCTTCCGACAAGAGAGAGCATCAGGCGTTTAATGCGCGTTTGATTTAAAATCGAGGAGATTCTTCTTCTATGCCAAACACGAAGCACAATTTCAACTCGATGATCGTTATCAATGCGCTATACGGGATGTTCTGAATTCTCCGAAGTTTTCCTCGAAACTCGTGTGAGTCTATTGATCGATTTAAAATTAAATTTTCTAACGAAGAATTTATAACTCATTTTCTCCAACTACTTTTTTTCGACGGCTATGTTTATTTTCGTAATAATAAAAAATATTTCCGTAAAAATAAAAATAAGTAAATTTTTTGCAAAAATAAATTCGTTATAAAATCATCGAGTATTAAAATTTTTTTATCGGTGCCGCGATATCCTCGCCGACAATTTATCTGTGCCAGATTGGGAGAGAATTCGGAGAAGACTTGGTAATGAAGGGAAGTCGCCGAAATATGTAACAGCGGTATTACGTCGGTACGCCTCCGGGGAAATCTTAATTGTGTGTTCATCCCGCCTCGACTCAGTTCAGCTCTCCGAGATTCTGTTCGTTTTCGTATTTGTAATGATCAATTTGCAATGTTGCCGCCAATTCTCGCTGCATCGCGACGAACTCGAGTCGACTTTACAATGCACGAACCATTTGTAACTTTGCCACGAACTCTAGTTGCGCTCCCGATTTTGTTGCCCCGCCAATTTTGGCCAAGAGCCAAACTCGATTCGCGCAGATAGACGGGGCAGGAATATGAAAGAGAGAGGAGCAAGAGGTGAGTTGCCTAAGGGGGGAGAAGGGAGCGACCTCATTGTTTACCAGGGTAGAACCCATCTCTGAGTTTTAAAGTTGTTGCGACAATAGCGTTGCGTTGCGCCAACTTCATCGGAAGTAATCACTCCGCAATAATTAGACACGTCATATCCATCTAGAAGATTAAATAGCAACCGTTGGAACCGCGGAATCGCGCGAGGCGAAAGTCCCGAGGGTGAAAGTGTTGTTGTGTTGTGTGAACTAAGCTTATTATTAAACTCGCAAGATACTTTAAATCTAAAAATTATACACTTATGATTTAAATATAAAATAATTATCTAAATTATACGTTTAAGACTTAAACATAATGTAATAAAATCCACTTTTTTTTAGAATAATATTCAAAGCAAATCTTGTATAAACATACGTCAATTACACAGTTCAACAAGCAATAATTTTTTTATACATTAGAAAGAGAGACACGTTTTTTTTTGGCGCTGAATACAATTCCGGGTTCCAAATTTTTCGAAAAATTTACGATTAAAGTAATCCAAGAAAAAATTATTTTAACATGTTAGTATTTTATCATGTTATAGTTACAACGTGCGACTTGTTGGAGAAGTTCTGTTGCATTTAAAGTTATGTATGTTGTTAGGATTTTCAGTGTTCAAAAAAAAAATTATTGTGTTAATTATGGTTAATGATGATAAAACGCATTATAATAAGTCATTTTTATAAGTTTAATTTCTCAAAATTGTGACGAGATGGATCAATTTGGAAAGAGAGAAAGAGAGTGAGACTGGAATTGTATTAAGCCTTAAAAAACTACGGGAAATGATTATTATCTTGTGTGTGTGTTTTTTTTTATTAAATTATGTTATATGCAGTGTCTTCTTTCTTTAAACTCGAGTATCGTTTAACACATCAAAATTTTACGACGTATTTTGTAAAAAACTACCAACTGTCGGATGTGTGTGTGTGATGTCAAGTCGATTAGGTCGATGATTAAAAAAAAGCGGTTCACGACTGATTCCAGCGCTTTTGCTGCTATACGACGTGACGAATAAGACGAGTTACGACAACATCAGGGCTTGGCTGAGCGAAATCCGGGAACATGCGAACGAGGATGTCGTCATCATGTTGCTGGGTGAGTCGCCGTTTATTTATGGTTTCCTCCGTGCGGATATACAATAGATCTGCCTACTTAGAATTTACGTAAAACTTAGCGAGAAACTTTAATCTCCAAGAAATTAAATACCAGATATAAGGGCCAAGTATAATTGTTTAGCGAAGATAAGAATTCAATAGAAAGCTATCTGGATGACCCAGATTTGATTTCAACAACACCATCCGATTGTCCCAAGTAATATATATATATATATATATTTACCGAACCAATTTAAATCAAGAGATTCAGAACTAACAATCTCGGTTCCAGGAAGCATCAAATTTAACTCGCAGCGTTTCCGCTTAAATGCAATTTGGATCGCTTCGAAAGCAATTAAAGCCGATTTTCATGCGAACTTGTGTTTAATTGAAAGTGTACAATATAATATGAAAGAGTAAAAAGAGATATAAATATTTTCGATCTCGCATCTTAATTCTTGATTTTAAATTCAAAATCGATTTTTTTTTTTTTAGGTTTTATAATTCGAAATCTAAAAATATCGATTTTTAAATTTAAGTTATTTCGTATGAACTATCGGCTCATGTATAAATTGGTCTTAATTGCTCTCGGCTAGTCCAGGTCGCGTCAATCAAGAACACTGTTTTAACCGCATCATGGAAATATATTTACCTTCTCTCGTCGCTCTATATTTATTAAACCGCAGGTAACAAATCCGATTGCGGAACGGAGCGTATCGTTAAACGGGAGGACGGCGAGCGATTAGCGCAGGAGTACAAAGTGCCGTTCATGGAAACGTCTGCCAAGACTGGCCTCAATGTCGAATTGGCATTCCTCGCCGTTGCTCGGTACGGTATCTAAAATTGACAAACATAATCGTTAAAATGGTGCGAATAAATATTGTTTTAAATGTAACCGATTTCATCAATCTCGATCTTAACTTAATTAGCGTTTTCTCTTTTCACAATTGAACATTTTTAAAAACTGAAAAAAGACGAAAATTACATGAAAGTTTTAATCGAGCTTGAAAATATCTTTTTCTGATAACTTTTACTCTGTAAAAGATAAAAACTGGACCGTATGTACGATCGGCAAAAAAATTGATAGACACTAAAACAGCTGATCGGCTACTCTTGTTTCAGAGATCTGAAGGCCAGAAAAAGCGACAACCCTGATGAGACGAAATTCAACGTTCAGGATTACGTGCGTCAGCAGTCTCAGCGAAACACTTGCTTCAATTCTAGCTGCTTGACAACCTGAATTGTTTTTCTTTTTACATCAAGTTAAGAGGATACGCGAGCTGGAATCGCGTTGATCGCGAGATATGCATGGCGCGAGTTTCGATGTGAGATTCGTTTGATTTACGCATAAGATTATTGGTATAACATACGCGTGCGCGGGACACGCATGAATAAAAACTTTACATTCGATTCATAAGAACTTCATCAAATGAATCGGAAGATCGAACGGAGAGACAGTATTAGCATTTTTTGTTAAATACATTATTAAAAGGCATTATTTTATTTCGTAGAATACGAAACCGATCGCGCTCTTAAAAGATTAGAGTTAGAAAGCTGGATCTTTTCATGTAGTGTCAGAAAGAAAAAGAGAAAGAGAATGAAAGACAGCATGAATCTCGTTATAAACGTAAACATGTATCAATGATCGCTCGCGCATTAATGTGAATAGTTCTAAGAAGATAGAGAATCTCATGTATACACGACTTACGAGATACCTCCATAGGTAAGCCTCTAGCGCTCGATGGTTCTAATTTCGCGTACACCATATATCCGCATATATACAGTGACTCGTGAAATTGATCAAATATTTTGAAAATTTCGAGATTATTTAAAAATGCAATATATTTATAGCATATTTATTACTTTGTGTGTACGTGTATGTGTCTGTGTGTACGTACGTGTTTATTTTTTCTCTGATAATATGTATGAGCTATAAAAATTTTCTTTTACATGCTCACTCCTTTCTCCATCCTTCTTACTTTGTTGTGCATTAAAAACTTTTATGAAGTTTTTAAAACATTCGATCAATTTCGCGAATAACTGTATATTAATGTTAAACGCTCAGCGACACGCGATTATTAAAAGCAATCGTAAGCGTAAATTACAGCTTATATTGGTTGTCGCACGCCCCGACTTTATAATTATTTGTTGCGCTGTTTGCATAAAGGAGTGTAATCTTCGATTTGCATACAATGTGCTTGTTACAAGGTATATAGCGCGCATGTTCATTCAATGTGCGGTTGCATCTGTCTCGCGGTGCCTGCGTAAGTGAACAAAAATATCAATGCAAGCTCAGTCTCTCGGCATACTAAGTAACGTAGTTGTGATATAATAGTGTCGAAAGACAGAAACAGATTAAGGTTTATGCACACTGTACAAAACATCACGTCATCGTCAATAACTTTGCTATTTAGTTTTGATTCTAATCAGATTAAGATTCTTGCCTTTAACATTAAAATGTTTTCAAAGTAGAATTTAAACGAATTCGTAATAAAACTGTCCGGGGAAAAAGTCTATATATAATCAAATGTAAATATATATAATTATATGTAAAATATGTGTTCATATATATATTTTCTTTCTCTTGTATAATCTCGATTCATATATACAAGAAAAATTATAAGAAGAATAATTGAAAAATAATCAGAAGAATAATTTTTCAATTATTCTTATTATTATTTTTCGTATACAGACAGAGATTATACTAGAGAAAGAAAACATATATGGATATATTTCATATATAATTATATATATTTATATTTGATTATGTATATGGATTTTTTCCTGGGTGCAATGATCTTGGACCAAAAGAAAGGAAAAAACAAGGAAGATTACTAGAAAAATGATAAAGAAAATAAACTCGAATCGACATTTTTCTTCTATTTTCTATTTCATTTTTCAATCCAACATTTACTTTGATACTTTAAGCATTCAGAGATCACCTTGTTTGAAATTACTTAATCTATAGTTTTGGTGAAAGTTTCTCCCTTTTAAAAACTTCAAGTTAAATACAGTAGTTTTAAAAGAGGATAATCTGACTGTTTAAAGTATCGAAATATAATAAATGTAAAATACTAAATTAAGATAGGAGAAAAAATAGCAAAATTTTAACTCGGATAACGGTTACATATACAGTGTGCATAAGTCTTTATGCGTTTCTCGTAGAAGAGGAACATCAAGAAACGATTCGTAGCTGCCATCTAGCAAAGCAACGCGCGAACACACTTGAGATTTCCTCTTGAGGAAGCTCCGCGCGATGCTTCTTCCCTTCCTTTTTTTCCTTGTAACCGACAAGTGCATGTGCGTTTCGTGATTGTTAATAGGCGCGTTTTGTATAAACGACAATTGATATATTTATCGAAGAGATACCAATTAGTCGATTGGCTGGTGATTATCTCTGAATGTAATCGAACAATTAATGAAGTCTATCGATCGTTATAGAGTCAGAATTCTAAGCGATGTTGCGAACCG